GTCTTAATTGCCCATTCAAGCCAAAGCCATGGGAAAGGGACATTTTTTGATAGGACAATTAATTTCCCTGCAATTACTGTGAGGATTGCTGTTAAGCTCAGGGGGGAAAGCAGGAGACAGTGGGGGGCAGCTCATGTCAGTATCTTTCCTAACAAAAAAGTGCTGGAGGAGCATTCTTGGGAGCCTGACGCCACTTCATCACTGTTCTTCTGAAACAGGAAATATGATGTCTCCTTTCCAGTCCCTTCCCCAACTATTGTGGAAGGCACAACATCCCATTTCCATATACAGGCCTCTTGAGATGATTGAGAACTGCCTCTTCCCTCTCTCTTATGCAACATGGTACGGTCCAAGAACCTTCGTTTTCTCCAATTCTGTGCTCAAGGAAGGTTCTAGAACAGGAGAGCACATACAGCTGAATCTGCAGCAGGATTTCGTATGCATTCATGAAATAAAAACCCTTTGATATCCTTGGAAGGAGGAGTCTGAATTCCTGTAATAGACACTGAACTCACTCTTGAACTCACAAGGAGACTGACTTAATATTAAATAACCCCAATATTGTACTGTGTCCATAAAGCTTTTACAACTTTCATTTCATTCATCTTCTCATCCCCAAAGTGAAGGGGATGGATAATTATCCCAGCAGGAGTTCTTCAAACATATCAAACCAATTACCTTCCACTTTAGGAATTTCACTTTTCAAAAAAGATAAATCTGCTAATATTACATTAATGGACCAAACAGTCTTCAGAAGCATAACAGTTTACTTCATCTCTCAGCTCTGCTAGCAAGAACCCTTAGCCACTTGACAATTTCCTTCAGTTTCAGTGGGGAAAAAAAAATACTCCTATGCTTTCTTTATTAAACAAATGGTCACACTTAGCATATGCATCTAAATAAATAATAATGGAATTGGTTGCTGATTCTAGAGGTCCCTTTTGTCAATGCTATTATAGCCAATATTTTAAAAAGGGAAAGAATAAATAGGAGGCAATATTGTATAGTGGTTAGAGTTTTCACTGGGACCCAGGGGATCCAGGTACTAGTCCCCACTCAGTCATGAGCCTCACTGAGGGACTTTGGGCCAGTCACTGACCTACAGGGTTGTAAGCATGAAATGGAGAAGAGGAAGAAGATGTAAGCCATCTTGAGTTTCTTGCAAGAGGGAAAAATGGCATATAAATGCATAATAGTAATAATAGTGTCTCCATGTTGTTGGCTTTATGGACAACAGGTATCTGTTTCAGGTATCCTAGCCAACATGGTAGCAAGGGCAGGGAAAGGGTGGGAAAGATGTGGCCCTCCAAACTGTTGGTGGACTTCAGCCCTTGTCAGTGACAGCCAGCATGGGCAATGGTCAGAGAAGTTAGCAAGTACAGTCCAGCAAAATCTGGAGAGCCATGTGCTCCACTCCTGGTAGAGAATAAATCCATGTAAACAATTTGTGAACTTTATCCAGTTGGAACATTAGCAGAATCCCAGCAACCTCCAAAAGCACTGCAAAATCCTTTCTGTTAGAGGTGGGTTTTAACTGTTTTTGCAGAACCTTGTATGTTGCTGCCCCAGTTTGGGCACAATTGCCCAATGGGTGCACTTACAGCTCTCTCCATGAGACAAGAGGCCTCAGTGAATCAGGAATCTTGCCCCTGCGGAGAGAGCCTGCATGCGTGCATCACACATCACCTTCAGACTTTTATTTATCACATAGTCACGGCCAACAGGTATGTCAGCTTCTAGGACCAGCTTGTGCGGTCTTGATGGTATAAAATGCCTAACAAGGGTTTTTGTGGTTTTATATCATGTATTCCTTGTTATTAGCTTGAACATGGTAAAGACAAGGCAAGCTTAAATGTTATAAATGTAGATGGATTTGCTGTGTTTCAGAACTGTGATATTTCTGCATGCCTCTCATTATCTTAACGTATATGGTGAAAATATGAAAATCTAATCTCATAAACAAAGCACCTTGTCTTGTACTGTGAATGACTGGAGGTGGACGACAGAGTCAAAGAGATGCCAGTGTTCCGTTTCAGTGTGCCAGAATTCCGTAGCATGAAAGGGTAAAGCAGTTAGTTGTCAGATGCAACTTTAAAATCTTGCTTTAATAAAACCAATTTGCTACTTTTCCTTCTGGGCTAATGCATGGTTGTATTTAGTGGCTGCCTGAAGCATGGTATTCCTTTCTATATAATTACCATTTGAAAGATGGTCTTCCTAATTACTCGGGATATTGTTCTCAAAAAGTATGGAAGTGAGTGAAGTGCCAAGTATAGGTTCTGAACAGTGAACAGTATCGCCACTAGTGCATAAGAGCCATGCACATCAGAGCTTCCAGGAAGACTCAAGGCTTGCTTGATTTTAGATTCCCGTGGCTGCGTGCAGATGTGACAACTTTCCTTAGCAATCAAAGCAACTGGCATGACTGCAGATTCTCCACTCTTATGGCAATGGAAGTGTAAATCAGACTTCTCCAACATGACTTCTCCCTCTAGCTATTTCAGACAACCTGTTCCCTCAACTTGGACCATTCCTCATGCTGGCTGAGTCTGATGAGAGTTGTAGACCAAAACGTGTGGGGGGAATCAGGTTAGGGGAAACTTGTGTGGGTGAATGGCCAGGTTTCCTTCCTGCAGCTGTAATTTAGGAACAGGCCCTGAGGGTTTGGAAGTCTGGATGATTGATTCATGGAGAGCTCCGCCCTCCCTGGAGGACTGCTGATGAGGTACAGCAAGTGGCACTGCACATGCGTGGAGGGTGTGATTGAAATTGTTAATGGAGCCTACTGGATATGGCTTTAGAAGTTGTGGAAAAGCAGCGCAAGTTGGCATGTGATTACTGTGCACAATAGGCCAAGCTCCAGTACAACCGCATGATGCGTGCACCGCCTCTCCCTGGTGAGATGGGAGTGAACGCCAGGTGAAAAGGTGAATCCAGATTTAAATAGGAGGGTGGAAGTGGGGATCCCCAACCGCTTCTCCACAGCAGCCCCTCCAGACCTTTGTAAATGCTTCACAGAGGCTGAGAGGACCCTTCTGGATTGGGTGAGCTTTGGTATGGGGGTGGGGGTAAGGCGTATCTCCTAAAACTGGGCAATAGGCTCCACAAGGAAGAGTTCCAACAGAAGGCAGTTCCTGGATGCGGCACAAGACCCAACAGTATGAAAGAAAAAATGTACTTAAATCATCACTGGTTTATTGCAAGTTGCTTTTGCTAGTTTAGAACAGTAGCCTTTCTTCATTCCCCACAAGTATTAACGATTTCTTGCACAATATTAAAGGGCATTTGGAAGCATAATCCACTGATTCCTTGGAAGTGAGCTTTGGAGCATAGAATGTGCTGCTTATCTACGGATCAACTAAATGTGTGTTGTGGGTATTTCTTGTATTGGCACTCACACTTTGACCAAGAGGTGGCTTTTTCCAGTTCTTACCAGGCAGTGCTTTTTGCAGTTCGGTTATCTGAATAAATTTTAGAAGTCAAACATATCCTTTGTCCCTCTAAAAAACACAGAGTTGAAAAAGTTCGACGGGGATTTGCAAGCGAAATTGTGGATCGGGTTTGGGAGATAGAAACTTCAAGACTGTCACGCCATGTGCGCAGTCGAGGCCAGGCTGAAGCTCACAAGCACAATGGCCTAACTGGTCCCAGGACCCTGGGAGCTCACGAGTTCGTTCTTCTGTTCTCTTCCCCGACGCGCCGCCCTTCGAAATTGCCTCCTCACCGATTCCCCTTCCTGCCTCTTTCCATCCGTCAAGCTGCTCAAACGCGAAGGATGCCGCACGAGAAAGAAAAGAAACAGTGCGGCGATGTCAGTCACATTCTTCTCTTTACATGCTTTAGATGGCGGTACAAGACCCGGCTTTGCTTGGGGATTCCTGGGAAGGGACTAGCTCCGCTCCACTATACCCCAACCCGATTTAACTAAGATTCGCTTTTCCACCCCCCCCCCCCCCCCCACTTCCCATCCTTCACGAGCACCCAGCGGCTTTTTAGCAGCGTGTCTGTTTGTTTTGGCGGGGAGGGGCAGAGCCTTGCGCCTTCGGGCGAGACTGCCTTCCCTCGCACATCGGCCACCACCGCAGGAGCTGCGCCTCTCTCCCGCGCTCTATTTTTTCTCCAAGCAGGCTGCGGAAGGGAGAGCGCCTCCAGTGATCAGTCTCTGCCGGGGACAGAGAAAGAGAGTTGCACTGAAGCCCTCCTCTCCTGCAAGCGAGCCCCCACAGCCGCCTCCAGCGGCAGCGGCCGGAGGAAGGTGCGGCGCGCGATCTGCCCTTCCCTCCTTTCCTGCTCTCTCTTCCTCCAGGGAAGTGCATCGGTTGGGGCAGCCGGCTTCCGGCAGGGGAAGATGGGAGAAGAAACGGAGGGAGGGGTCGCGGCGGCGGCGGCGGCTGGGGCTTGAGGTGACCAAAGTAAGAAGCGATCCAGCTGCTTGAAGGCGAGCAGAGCTGCTGCCCCAGGAGCCGAACTAATTCTTACCGGGCGGCCCCGCCCTCATTAGCGGCTCCGCAGGGAGCGCGCGCATCCTGGGGTGGTTCCTTGCAAGTTCCACCTCTGGCTGCATGTGAGGCGCTTCTCTTTCTCCCACTCCCCCACCCCCGCCCTCGGCTTTGTTTTTAATCGGGCAGCCGTCGACTCGTCCCTTTTAGACTCAGTTGAAGCCTGAGCCTCGCAGAACTGGAATCTCTTTTTGAAGAATCCGCCCGCGCCCCTCCCGCCGTCAGTGTATCCCATCCCGTCCGAGCACGGGAAGACCGAGCCGGCGGGCGGGAGAGCTTGTTTTGTCTCCGAGATCATTAGACCTGCCCATTGGATTGCTCCACTTACTTGACCGTGCCTCAGGAATCCTCCCTGCTTGATGAATTGCGGGAGAAGAACGCGTGTGCTGGACGGACAGACCCGGGTTCATATGCATGTTGGGGCTACTTCGATTGTGTAGAGGGAAGCGTAGAGCCGCCGTCAGCTTCGGAGCCACGCTCCCCCTCGTCCTCTCATTTAGAGCTGCACCGGATAAGCAAACAGGGTGGGACTTCGGTGGGGAAGCTCCCGCTCGCTCCTCCGCAGTTTTGGAGAGTTTGGCACTTAGGAGCCGATTCTGATTTCGCGTTCGCTTGTTCGCACTCGTACGTGCATGCGCGCGTGGTCCTGTTGTGATGTTGGTGGACTAGGATCGCTTTTGAGGCTTCGCAGGCTGGAAAAAGAAGAACAATCGGGACTGGAAAACGCAGGCAGGCGCCTTTCCTGGGTCTCAATGAAATCGGGTCGGCATAAAAAGTGACTTTTCCTCCGCCCAGGATTTAGAGGGAGGGCAGCGCGAGTCTTATCCGCGCGCAGCTGCGTTGTTAACCCGAAGCGGCGCACCGAGAGAGCAGCGAGAGCGACCGACGAGGGCAGCCAGGGAGGCGCTATGGCGAGGCTCTGGGGAGCGAATGTAGCGGCGGCGAGTGTGCTTTTACTTTTGCAGTGTTTTGCTGACCGGTGGCAGCTCATCGGAGCCCTGAAACCGAAGCGCAGTCACGGTAAGCAGAAAGCGAGGTCTGGGTAGGAGAAGCTGGTGCGGGGAGGTGGCGAAGGCCACCGCCGGGAGAAAGACGGGGAAGCAGCCCGCTCTCGTCCAGACGCATTGTGATCCCGATTGCGGAGATAAATAGGTTGCCTGCGTTTGGAACGGGAGGTTTCTGCCTCGTCTGAACCTGTGACTTCCTTGAATGTCTGGGGATTTCTGTCGAACACGTGCAGAGTTCTTTTCCCTTGTGAGATTACCGCTGCCAGCTTCCTCATGTATGACTGAAGTTTATGAAGAAATACCTAGTGGAGCACATGTGTGGTTCTAGACTGGCTTGCGCCATGGCATAGTTTGATCCAGAATAGCTGACCTCCATCGGACTACTTCTAAGCTGTGCAGGGGCACAGGTGGCGGGAGTGTTTGAACTCGAACTGGGAAGGCATCTCTTGTGCAGGACCCCCCCCCCCCCCTTGATCCTCCTCTCTGCCCTCCCCCCACCCCCACTATCGTGTCTGGATGATGGAGCTTGACTATCTCAAAGGGTGTTCCTGGCAGCACTCACATAGGTTGTGATTTGAGAATCCTGCCTTTAGCAGTGGGGGAGAGGGGTTGGATGATCTAGTTTTCAAAGTCTCATCCATCTGTCTCTGCAATTATGGTTGTTTGATTTGATTCCCTTGAGACCAGTTAATCAATTAATCCAACGTCTCTTTAAAAAAGCATTTGCCATGTCCTTTAAGAGTGATAGGGTGGGTGGAATTTCTGCATTCCCTCATTCTGGGATGAGCTGGAAAATGAGCACCTGTTGAATTTCTGTCTGCCCAACAAGCTCTTAGAAGCACTGTTCAAAGCACATGAAGGAAACATGTCCAGAGAGATAACCAAAGAGTGTTTAGCATCATTCTCCACATGGATGGAGAGGAACGTAGTTTTAGTGAATACAGGTGAATAAGTTAAGCTGCAGGCAGTTTCCTTATTTTGCATTCTGTGTTTCTGTAGCAAGTGCCCAGTTATCCCCATCTGTTAACCTGCCAGGATTTGGCCTTTGTACCCTTGGTTGCCAACTTTCCTGTGTTCCTAATATGTTTATAATATAACAATGCTTAGTGCATTGTTTTCTCCATCTTGTGTGCTGAGAACAGTATCATTTGTGGAATTTTCTCCTTTTCTATTTGAATTTTTACAGTCATATCCTACCTTGTTCTTCTTGCAAGGAACGCAAAGTAGTTTACATGGCCCTTCATAACAATTTTATCTTCACAACAACAATGCTTAGGCTGAGAATGAGCAACCAGCAGAGTTACCCAGTAAGCTATGCCACACTGGCTTTCCATGCCACACAGCTCCTCAGGGTACCAAAGCCATGCCTCGAAGGAAGAGGTTGGCTGGGCTTGGTGCACTAAGCTTCTAGAATGCAAAAGGTTAACCTTTATGCACCTGCTAAACAATGGGTCCCTCCAGTCTCCCTGTGACACTTCCATCTCCTTCATTTGTACTAAAGGAAAAGCCACCTTGCCCTATTGACAGCGGCAGATTTTGCTTTTCTTCATCAGTGCCTGTGATTGGGGGAAAAGTGAATTCCGGAACTTCTGTTCCTCCCTTCTCTCCATGAGATCCAGCTTGCACAAGGTCTCGGTCTGTCTGTCTGTCTGTCTCTCTCTCTCTCTCTCTCTCTCTCTCTCCTTTCCCTCTGACATTCTGTTCTTGTTCACTCTACTTCATACCAGAAGATGGTTAGCTGTCAGAACACAGTTAGAACCCATTTCTCTCATTATGCTTCCTGCTCTAATAGGGTAGAAGTAAGAATTTTATGGATGTGTAAACATGTAATGTCTCACCATTGTTTTCTTCCTCAGGGAGTCACACAAACTTCCACATTCTTTTCTGATACAGTAAAGAATATACTTGCCCTTGTGCTTCTTGGTGGGATCCAGAGATAGATGATGGCCTACTAGATCAAAGGATGCATTTTCTTTGAAGGCTTGTTGGGAAGGTGGTGTGCATTCTCCAGGATATTGTACCTCCTGGGGTATTCCTCAAGGATAGCTATGCACAGTGTAGTCCTTTGTATACTCAAAAGCATGTCCCATTGACTTCATTTGAGAATACTTCCAAAGAATAAGTGTGGAGAAGATAGCAACCATATTGCAGCCTTTGCTCTTGAAAACCAAAGCAAGATAAGCCTGTTCACAATGATCCTGCATCTTGATTTAGACCTAAACACGTATAATCAAATTGACTGATAAAGACTGCATAGTAGGTCTCACTCTGAAGTGTTTGTTGCTTCTGGTTTCCTGGGGTGAGAAATGTTGACTCTTCTCAGTGTGACAGGGCAGGGTCTATCTGCTTGTTCTTTTCTGTAGGTCTGTTCAGCAGAAGGTCATAGTTGGCAAACAGAGGCATGCATCATATCGAATGTTCAACTAATAAATGATGATATGACATATGTTATTAGTCTTATAAATTACATGACAGTTTTACATGGTTTTTTAAAAAAACATTAACAGCAAAGTATTTGACTGGATTTATGAACAGAATTGCAAGAATGCAAGTGTGCCCTTCTGTCCTATGCTGGGCAAGTCTGATCAGTATTTTTTAGATGGTTTGTACCCACTGTTTTGGATCCAGTGTCTGGCTATGCACAGCGAAACTTCCAGTAAAATTTAAGGTGTACACGCTACTTCGTATTCATTCACTTGAACTGAATATAACTGAAATAACCATGATATTGTGGTTGTTTATTACTGTTTAGGTAACCATAAGTATGCATTAACATATTAAAACATATTAGGATATATATATATATATATATATATATATATATATAATGTTTCAGTGCCTCTGAGCATGCATTTTCTGTCAGACTTTCTTAAAGAAGAATCCTGTTTTGTTCATGCTTGGTGTTTGTCTTTCTCTGGCTAATATTTGGCTGCAAACAGCTTTCTATGGGGTCAGAAAATGGTCTGAAGATAAATGATGCTATTAGAGTGTTAAAGATAATTAGGTCTCTGTCAGGTCAGTTCCTGGTTGGCAAATTGTGTGGGAGTTCCATGGAAGCTGTTCTGGACTTCACACACATTTAAAGAGCAAGCTAGAGAAGACAGGGTGGTGTGAAACAAGAATCCGCATGGAATGAGGGGCTGTAGCCCAACAGTGGAGCACTGTATCTTTGTGTGCAAGAAGGACTTGGTTCGATCTCCAGATAGAGCAGGGAATCAGAGTTAGTAGGTTGTTCCTACAAACAGGGTTAGGGATATCAAAGATATTCTCAGTTGTTTTCAGGCAAATGTTAGGATGTCAGGCCTACTTTAGGTAATAAGAGATTGTCTTTTATACTAGGGTTCAAGTCTTTCTAGCTTTGGTGCTTTGAAATTTCAATGAGGGGCATTCCTTACTTTCTTCATCCTCATTATGTCATATGAGGGCCAAATGTGCTTCATATCAGACTACTGATTAATTGTTTAGGAGAAGTGCCCATGGCCCTGATTTGAATGAGGATGGTGGTGTTCTAGGAGAGCTTTCCCTTTATAGTTTATGCCTCCTGCAGGTTAAAAAAATCTCCATTGATCCCAGTTAAGACTTTTATTTCTTTTTAATTGAAATTGAGTTCTATTGAAATGGATGGGAGTTGTTGTTGTTGTTGTTGTTAGTCGCACAGTCGTGTCCGACCCATCGTGACCCCAAGGACAACATTCCTCCAGGCCTTCCTGTCCTCCACCATCCCCTGGAGTCCACCTAAGCTCACGCGACTGCTTCAGTGACTTCATCCAGCCACCTCATTCTCTGCTGTCCCCTTCTTCTTTTGCCTTCAATTGTTCCCAGCATTAGACTCTTCTTCAGGGAGTCCTTCCTTCTCATTAGGTGGCCAAAGTATTTGAGTTTCATCTTCAGGATCTGGCCTTCTAAAGAGCAGTCAGGGTTGATCTCCTCTAGGACTGACCAGTTTGATCGCCTTGCGGTCCAAGAGACTCATAGGTATCTCCTCCAGCACCACAATTCAAAGGCCTCAATCCTTTGGCACTCAGCCTTCCTTATGGTCCAGCTTTCACAGCCATACATTGCAACTGGGAAAACCATAGCCTTGACTATACGCACTTTTGTTGGCAGGGTGATGTCTCTGCTTTTTAGTATGCTGTCTAGATTTGCCATAGCTTTCCTCCCCAGGAGCAAGCGTCTTTTAATTTCTTGGCTGCAGTCCCCATCTGTGGTGATCTTGGAGTCCAGGAAAATAAAATCTGTCACTACCTCCATTTCTTCCCCATCTATTTGCCTGGAAGTGAGAGGACCGGATGCCATGATCTTAGTTTTATGTTAGATCAATGTGGGATGCAATCCATCGTCATTTCTGACCATTGGCTGTGCTGGCTGGGGCTGTTCAGAGTTGAAATCTGGACTATCTGGAGGGCGCTAGACTGGGAAGTTCGCCCTGGAACATTGAGGTGAAACATTGTGAGCTCATTGTGAGCTCAGATCAATTTTATCATTTGGCTTGAATTTGAACCCATATCTCCTAGTTTTAGCATTATGCTGTTTATGAGAAAACACAGTACATCTCTGTGTTTCATTTTCCTCTACTTTTTATGCTGGGTTGTGTTCAGATAAAAGAATACTGTGCTTTAGCGTCATTGTGTCTGTAGCTTCCTGGGACCCTGAGAACAGTAAAAGTGGTATTCATAGTCAAGTTAGTGGGATTTTACTGGGAACTGCAGCTTAACAGTGGAACATAAGTACTATATGCAGAAGATCTCCAGGGTCTTCTGTTAGAAGAGGTAGTGTGGTGTAGCAGGTATAGTGTTGGAGCTGATCTGGATTCTAGCTCACTGTGAGACTTTGGGCCCATCACAGATTCTCAGCCTAACGCTTCTCACAGGGTTTTTGTGAGGATAAAATGAAGAGGGAGATCATGTAAGCAGCCTTCCTTGGAAGAGGAAAAAAAGGAAAGATATGACGGTAATATAATGTAATATCGATGCTAGTACCATAAAAAGGTCCTGGTGCTGGTCTCTCTTCCCG